ACATATAAAATCAGTCAAAATGATCCTTCACATTTAAATTATGAGCCAATTTGGTCCTATTGCTCGTTTTTGCTCATTTCTCCGGCTAAAAATAGCATGCCCCTCTCACGTGGTCATATTTTTAGGGGCAAAACTGGAAACACATTTCATTACCGGTCGAAAGAAGCCATCTTTCCTTCATCTAATCACCTCACTAACCCATGAAATTGAAGAGGGAAAATACAATAGCAAGAAATTGGGAAGAAGAAGCTGACCTTTGAAGAGTAAAATGGATCCAAACGAGCGATGTCTTTGTGGAAAGGAACCCATCATTGTGACTTCTTGGAAACCTGCAATCAGATACTTACAAAATAGTTGTAATACTTGGGGAGGGGGGTAGGGTGAGGCATCTGAGTTTTTGTTGGTTGGGGGAAGGGGAAGAAGAGATAGAGAGAGGTAGTTACTCTTGGCGCTGGAGGGATTTGAGGATGGAAGCTTTGGAAGACTCGATCTCCCATCCATGTATCCGAAGTCCAACCCGCCCGTCCGGCAGCAACTCCGCTCCGGCTTCTTTCAATTCTTTCTGGTCTGCCTCCCACTCCATGCCCCCTACCTCACAAAACAAGCACCGTCACGATTTATGTCCAGTCTTGTTCCAGATTCTGCAACCCCCCTTCTGCTGGGTTGGCGACTGGAGCTGGTTTTCTACTTCCACAAGAATGGTTTCCGAACGGCGATGCTACCGCTTTTTGTGAAAGGTCAGAATCGTCATTGCATCTTGTTTGTGTCTGTGTGTGTGTGTGTGTGTGTGTACATGCCCTCTTAATTTTCTTCACGATTTTTTTGGCCAAACCTTCAATCTTTTCTCAATCACACCCTACAGGTTTGTCGTCGTCATCATCGGCAGTACATTTCCAAGTTATGCTTGTTAATTTGGGGATGCAATTAGGGTTTCTTCAAACTGTAATTTGAGGGCCAAAGGTGAAATGTGTATTTTGGTGGTGGTCCCCTATCCTTTTACCTTCAACCGGTAATGAAATGTATTTGCCGGTTTTGCCCCTAAAAATATGACTACATGAGGGGGACGTGCTATTTTTAGCCGGAGAAATGAGTAAAAACGAGCAATAGGACCAAATTGGCTCATAATTTAAATGTGAAGGATCATTTTGGCTGATTTTATATGTTAAGGACTAAAAAAGTGTTTTTGGTAAATGTTAGGGACCAATTTGGCAAATTTCCCTTTAAATTTTAATCCAATCCTTCCCCAATAATCTCTGTAATCTTATAGACTGCTAACTTCATATATATGCAATTGACTTGTAAATTAATTGCTAGATTTACTTATCGAAGTTGGTATTGTCTGATTAAATAAAACCCTCAAAAAGAGTAAGAGAGAGTTGTCAAAACCTGTTGCCTATCGGCCTTAAATATATTAATATTTTAGTCGATCATTGACATCCCATGCATGCATGATACATCATAATTCTATCACTAGGCAATTGTGAAAGGATATTATCTACAACAGATAAAAAAGAAAGAAAAAAAATGAGGTACGTACCTCACATCACACCTGACATAAACAAATGATTCTAATTAAACGAAAATGTTGGGGTCAATTATAATGTTTAAGTAACATGTCCAATTCTTTGGTTCAATTTAGTCGTGAATCTTGAGTTTCTACCTTTTTAAAAAAAAAAAAAAAAATCTTTACAAACTCTGGTTGTAAAGTCAAGTCGTGATTAATGATCTTTTGCACAAAAATTCACTTTAAGACTTGATTGACGAGCAATTTAACATGTTCCACTATTAAATTATAAGCCGTGGCATGCTATTATCGCACACATTTAGTTCGTATGATTGCCAACAATCCTTAAATTTTAGGCCAAAAATTTTAGAGCACATCGCATTACCTCAAGATGCATTTTCTCCAAAAAGGTTTAATTTGCGACCAAGGGCGGGTGCTACTGTGTTGTGTATGATTAGGTCCGATTATTATACATGTTTAATTGTTTGTGTACAATTATATTACAATATTGTATTAAATATGCATGAAGTATTTTATTCATGACAATTACTTTTTTTACAAGTACAATAACATGAAGTGATTGTACATCGGGTAATGCAACCGGATGGGATCACGCGGCCATTCTACATAATCTTCTGTGTGTGAAAGTGTCTAAGAGCTTGATCATTGATTGCCTTTTACAGTAACAAAAATTAATCTACTAAAAGCGTTCAACAGTTTGTGTTTTCTTCTAAGAGAAACAAGAAGATTATTGGAATCATAATTTCATCATCCAATCCCTCTACAACTCGTATGATTGGCAAATTCATAGGAATATTCGTGTCTGTTCATGATGAGACACATTCATTCACTCATCCATGATATTTCGGCACACACAACAATAAAAACGACGTTGTGATTCATTGTTTTGAAAATTCTCCATCACAAACATAGGAGAAATTTCAAAGAAAATGAGGAAAAAGAAAGAAAAAAAAAAAGAAAAACAGATGGTCAAACTCCCCATATTGAGTTATCTAGATGAGTTTATAAAAAAATAGATAAAAGATTTTTATCTTTGAAACCCATTGCACGTGGGTGGGGCAATATGGCCAAAGTAGTTGAATGGGAGGATCGTTGTGACCATAGACCTTAGTAAATTTACCCAAGGCAAAAATAATTTATTTGATATCATGGATGGCATTTTTTTTTTTTTGTCACTTATCATCATCTATATCTAGACCTACTTCTAATCCTAATCTAGCCTATACTAGGGGGGAGGGGGGTGACCCAACAGGGTCAGGAAACCGATGGTACCATCGGATCATACGGGTGCAAAGTATCCACATGAATTTTAAGCAAAGCCACATTAAGAGACAACTTTTTGATTGGAGGCAAGGATTGAACCCTTGACTTCTCACCCCACACTAAAGGCGGTGGCCAACTCCACTAAAGGGAGTTAAGGTGGATGACTAGTTACATAGGGACCATTTCATTTTTGTAAGCTAGTTCTAGTCTATTGCTCTTTTGTTGTGCTTATTTCGCTTTAGGGGTTGACTCATAGGTACAATTTTTGTAACTTCATGGTGTATTCACGCTTAGCCAACTCTTATTTCGAAGGCTACAATTTCTTATTTGCTGCAGTTTCTACTCCTACGAATTGTTTAGCACACTCTTTTTTGTTACTATAGGGCCTTGAAGTATAAGGAGATTTTACTCATTGGTGTCAATTAGGCGGATTGTAGACTTTTGCTGCTTTCCACGACCTTTAATTTGCCTTTTGCAAGACACCAATTGTCTAAGAGCTAGATCTTGTTTGAATTGTAAGTCTCGTAAAAAAAAAAAAAATTTTAACACATTTCTTAGTTATATTTTTGTTTCACATACATTACATCTTTACTGTATATTTTTTTTATAAAACTTCCAAAAACCTAAAATTCAAACGAGCTCGTAGTTTGTTCAAACTGCCAGCTTCTATTTGTCCAGCTGCAGTACAAGGCGAAATGTCATCAAACAACTTTAAAGAATTAGAGACAAAAGACAACCATCCATCATGAAGGGCCTTTTCCATCATAATTAGGGTAGCTTGGAGGGGTCTGCACTTCTGCTGGCTCTAAGATGCTTTTTATTATTGGCAGGAAGTTGGTGGGCTTATCGGGCGATAGGGATTCCAAAGGCTTGAGTTTCTTTTTGTTGGGCGTAATTACTATCGTTGTTCAATGGCTTGATTAAACAGCCAAGAACACATGAATCACGACTTGATATTGCACAATTTTTTTCTTGCTCATCTGTATTACAAAGATGTAACCCTTTACTTGTTTTACTTTTTCCGACATTATATTTGTGTCATGGCATTTTGCCATTATATTTATGTTATGTCATTACATTTGTGTCATATCATTTTGCCTTTTTATAAAAACAGAAAGTGTTATGTTGTAGGAGAATGTCTTTTTAATACGAAAAGGCGTAGAAAAAATCTTAATCGTAGCAGGAGAAACTTTTACCTACCGAGTTCAACTTCAAAAGATTCTTAAAATTGGTTTGTTATATGCTCCCTCCGTCCCACTTTGATAATTTTGTTTTCCTTTTTCGTCTGTTTCAAATTGTAATCCACATTTCAATCGAGAAATGTAGTTGTTTTTTAATTTCTCTAAAATACCCTTATTTAATGTAAGTTGTTATTACTATAAAGTACCTTATTTAATATAGATTGTTAGTATTGAATGTAGCCTACCCCATTTAATGCATTTAGATTTTTTAAAACATATTGATATATGAAAAGCCAAATTTATTTAATGTAAAGGTATTTTAGGAAAATAGCAATCTAAATTTGTTTTCCCAACAAAGTTAACTACTTTTTCTTAAACTGTGTGAAAAAAATTAGGACTATTAAAAGAGGACAGAGGGAGTATTAAATTTATAATTTTGTCCTACAATTGTATTCTGTAAAAATTCTGAAGTTTCCAATTGTCCCATTCCACTGCCCCTGTAAGTCATCTAACCACTCGAGAGAAATATTAAGACCGACAGTAGTGCATTGTTACGTAGAAACTATGTAGTATTAACATGATTACTTGCTACAAGTTGAAGTAGCTTCAGTATACAAGCCAATCGACATACTCCGCTCATAATATCTGTAAATTGTTGGGTCTAATATCATTGCTCATATCTATAATCGAACATTTGCAGCAGGAAAATGGGACAATATCTTTGTTTCCCTAATTGAATGATCTTTTATCAAGGAGTTCTTTTTATGGCGGTAATTTCATGTATATCATTTCCCTATTGCTAGAAATCAAAACATTTTCCTAATTAAACCCTATCTCGGTTTCTTCTTGCCATAATATAAGGGGGCCCCAAAAAATTTTCTAGCACTTGACATATAATTTAGTTGAAAAGGCATTTTCAACCAAAAAAAAAAGAAAAGAAAAGGAAAGAAAACCGACGAGAAACTCTGTACATAAATAGAAAAGTAATAAGAGACAGTACATGAGCATTATATATCTCCAAGCAAATTAAAGAGGACTTCAACTGCAAACTGATCAAAGAGCAAATGGCAATGGAGAAAGCAGTGAAGAAGCCTCATGCTGTTTGCATCCCATACCCATCTCAAAGTCATATTGGCGCAACGCTAAAGTTGGCCAAACTTCTCCACCATAAAGGCTTTTACATAACATTTGTTCACACAGAATATAACTACAAACGTTTGCTGAAATCAAGGGGTCCCAAGTCGCTGGATGGTTCACCAGATTTCAAGTTTGAGACCATCCCAGATGGCCTCCCACCTGCTGAAAATGATGATGTTACCCAAGATGTTTTCCAGCTTTTTCCTTCAATTGCAAAAAATTTCTACCGCCCATTTGTTGATCTGATTAGAAGGCTCAACAATAAGGCTTCGGTGGATGATGAATTTCCTCCTGTAACTTGTATAATTTCTGATGCTGTTATGTCCACATTCACAGTTGAGGCAGCTGAAGAACTAGGAATCCCAGATGTACTGTTTTGGACCATGAGTGCATTAACCGTCATGTGTTTCTCGCAATTTCCTCAACTTCGTGAACGAGGGTATACACCACTCAAAGGTACAAAAAAGAATTTTGTTTTTTTTTTCCTCTATACAAAAATAACATAACAACCTTGCAATGAGAAAATTGGATAAAGGTAATATTTTAGCAGTAATTCAGATAGTATATATAATGACTGACTCAATAGAAAAATATCCTATGAACCATAGAATGATTGGACTCAGAAATGGAGCAGCTTCATGACTAATGCAAATACTGCACGTGTAATTTGAAATCCAAAGGGGCTCAAAAAAAGGATAAGTTACCTTTTACCTCCCATATAATTTGATATTTTACCACATAACCCCTATATGGTTCAAAGCATCAAATCATAGGAGGGTAAAAGATAATTTACCCTTCAAAAGATTATACAGACTGAACAAACTTTGCTCACATAAAGTTTAGCACTCAATTCTCATGCACTTCAAATTATAGTTATTATATTTTACAGCACATCAAATTATTTGGCACTGTTTTCTCATTAATAATTTTCTCTTCTTGAACCGAGACAAACTCAAGAATCAAGACGGTGATTAATGTATATAGGGCAATCAGGGCATCTTACTTTATCCTGTTTTGGCCAATATTGTATTTTATTTTTCATCCTTTGCCATATTAAGATATCAATTTTAGGTATTGAATGTTTCTTGTTTCAATTGTATGTAATGTACAGCTTTTTTTTATATATTTAATTTACAGATGCAAGTTGCTTTACCAATGGGTACATGGAAAATACCATTGATTGGATTCCTGGAATTAGTAGTGTCCGATTAAAAGACATCCCAACCGTAATCTGGACTACTGATCCCAAGGATGAGTTTGTGGATTATTTAGTTAAGCTCATACCATGGACTTTGAAGGGTGCTGCTGTCATTCTGAACACTTTCGAGCCGCTAGAACACGGTATTTTGGAGCAATTTTCTCCCATGATGGATCATGTATACACTCTTGGACCAATTCACTTGCTTCTCAAAGAGGTGCAAAAGGATGACCATTCCACAGAAGCAATCCAATCAAATCTATGGAAAGAAGATGACAGTTGCATCGAATGGCTGAATTCCAAGAAGGCAGGCTCAGTCGCTTATGTTAACTTTGGTAGCGTTACAGTCATGACTGAAAATCAGTTGGTTGAGTTTGCAATGGGACTTGCCAATAGCATGCAGTACTTTCTTTGGATAATCAGGCCTGATCTTGTCAATGGAGGGCCAATCGATCTCCCGCCCGAATTCTTCATTGCTTCTAAGGATAGAGGGATGTTAGCTACGTGGTGTAATCAAGAACTCGTTCTTAGTCATCCATCAGTTGGTGCATTTTTAACACACTGTGGATGGAATTCTGTTCTTGAAAGCTTGTCGGCTGGAGTACCTATGATTTGCTGGCCATTTTTTGCAGATCAACAGACTAATTGCTTGAGTTGTTGCTCTTACTGGGGTGTTGGCGTGGAGATAGATAGTAATGTGAACAGAAAAGAGGTGGAGAAGGTGGTAAGAGACTTAATGGAGGGAGAAAAGGGCAAGGAAATAAAGAAGAAGGCACTGGAGTGGAAGACCAAAGCTGAAGAAGCAGTAAAACCTGGTGGATCTTCATACTCGAATCTGGATAAGATAATTGGAGAAGTGCTTCTGTCCCCTGAAATTTGAATTTATGTACTTAAAGTTTCCTTTTCCATTTCATCTTTTCAAGGGAAGATCATCATCTGATTGACCATTTAGCACTATGATCATGCATTTGTATCTCAAAAATGAAATCGGATGAACCATCCAAAGAGTTGGGACCTCGCGATTTCAACAATCGTTTGTAGTTGTATTCTGTGTGAACAAATGTTTTGTGAAAGCCTTTGCGGTGGAAAAGTTTGGCCAACTTCAGCATTGCGCTAATATGGCTTTGAACTGGATATGGGTTGCAAATTGCGTGAGGCTTTTTGATTGGATTTTCCATGGCTAGTTACTCTCTTTGTGGTTAGAGATCCCAGATTTTGATTGAAGAATATAAATCCTGCATGAATCTCATTCATCATTGAGAGTCTTTTACATGTAGGTAATCAACTTTTATAGACATTTGATGATATTTTTCTTTCTTTAAAAATGACATGTAACAAATTATTAGGTTGCAAGTTAAATTTTGTTGAATACCATCCTCAAATATGACATTTAACTAAACTATTAATGCGAGAATACATTTGATGATTTTTTTTTTCTTTTTCGAGCAACAATGATTTTCATTGATAATAAGCAAAACGTTTATAATCAGGAACAGAACCAATCATGTACCTGAACTGCACATTTCAAAATGAACTAACACTACTCACAAAATTGTCCAGTATTCAGTTCCAACCAAGTATTAAATCCAATGTCTCTCTATGTTTAGAAATCTTTCCGCAGGACGTACAGCACAATGCGATGCAGATGTTCCACCGTAGCAGTCATAAATCTACCACAAGAGACTAGCCTAGACTGAAAAATACACGGGCAAGACCTCATATATTTCATTTCAGACAAGTTTCTTGGGTATAACTGAATTGGAAGATGGAGTAATAAAAATTTAAATATGTTATAACTAAGTTAGAATATAGTGTAACAAATTTTGAATTGACTATTTTACCTGGAAATGGAGTAAAATGGGATTTGCAAGGCCCTGGATTCGAAAACAACCTGCTTCTCCAGCCCTCCACAGCTCATAAACGGTAGCAGCAAAGACTAGCCTTTTTAAACTGATCGATATAGGAATTTGAAGTCTAGCCAAATATCACCATGTAGGCAGGTTAATCAAAAACTAAAGATAACAAAAGGGGATACACACTTATGTTCAAAGGTGCTAGTTCATTTATGGAAGCAACAAAAGTTGACAATGATGCGGATGTGCAGCACATAATAAGGTCGATGCTTTAAAAATTAAATATTCTTCATAATCATTTCCGGGTAATTGCACCTTATGTGAGTTTTATTGAAGTTCCGAACGAACAAACGTTATCCAACACCGAAATGATAGCACTAGCATTATCAGCATCCACATTCATCTACTACAAATCTTGATGTTCCCTTCAGCAGATTGAATGGAAGAGAGGATTTTAAGTGAATAATTGATTGTTAAGGGATTTCAACAAGAAATTAATCAGCATTCTTTTTGTGAAACAAGCATTGATTATAGCTTCCTGCATCTTTTAATATAAGGGCCAACAGTAGTTGGTTCAATTAATAAAGTATAAGTTGTAATATCTTTATATGTATAAGTTGCTAGTTAATTATAATATTTGAATAATAATTTGGATAAAAACTACTTAATATTGTTCTTATATTTTTTTTAATAGGTGGAGAGCTCAATTGGAAAGAAAATGGACCAATTTTGACAAAACAAATAGAGTAAATTAGCAATGGAGCAAAGACAGAGCAAGAAGCAAATGAGGGCTACTGGATTATATGGATCTGCGGGCAGATTCCATGTCTAGCGTTGAACATTGAAAGGATCTTTGGGGCGGACTTCATCAGTCCGGGTGGCAATTAAGTCAAGTTGTCGGTTGGCAGATTGGATTGAGACTCAAACATCCTGAGTGACACATCAACTTGAAAACGATCCGCAAAATTAAATGGATCAACCTTCCTGACCTGAATACGATCTGTTAATTTCGCAGGTTATCTGAACCAGACCTGAATAACTTATTTGCTTAATTTTTTTTCTTTCTTTGAGCTTCTCATCTTGATAGTATGGTGGACTTTTCTATAATGAAATTTCCATAAAAATATAGAAAATTTCAACCCAATCCTAGATTTCAAGATTGCTGCTTGTAGTACTTCTTTGGCTTTCTTTTTTGGTACAAATAGATCATAAATAAAAACAAAATGTGACGTTTTCACAAATAGAATCTATTTTTCACATAAAATTTATGGTTGTGTCATACTACTGATTGATAGCCTAGATTAGTTTTTAATTTACTTTATATCCCCAATTTATTTACTCCATTAAATTATAAAATTACACATTAAACAAGTCAAATGGGTCCTATGATTGACCTAATTTGGACCTATTTGCTTGGTGGATTATTCAGGTCTAACCTGATTTTGATCCAAACATGTGGAAAATAAACCATACCTACTAATTTCATGTTAAGCTCGAGTTATATTTTCGGATCGTATCGAGAATTTCCATTCCAATTCATCGGGAGATATGCTCAAACTCAATTTTTGGCAACTTTTAGAGACCTAATCGTATCATACTTAGGTCACAACTTTAAGAAACTATAAATATGAGTACTTTATGTCGTTTTTAGGGAAAAAAACACTTGTTTGAACATTAGTTCTAGGTTTTTCTTTGAAAATTCAAGAATCAAAGTTAGAAATCAAGGTTTGGAATTCAGAGTTACGTCAACTGTGAAAAACATGCTCTTTATTCTAAGTCTTGTATTTTTCAACATTGAATACTTGTTTATTCTTACAATTATAATGAACTAATTTTTATTTAGGATTAGGGTCTTGTGAAGAAGTTTTGATTATTTATTAAATTAAATTCTTAACTTTTACCTTGATTTATCTGTTTTAATTTAATTACATATTTGTGATTGGCCACCATAGACATGCTCAAAAGGTTTGTATTGAACTAAGAAGGGATATACAACCATACACTAAATAGATAAATATATTTAGCCTAATCACAAGAGTATATTGAGATTTGTATTACATAATTAAATCACCCAAACTAAATACTTGTAATCTCGAGAGAGACATGAGATCTGATTGGGCACAATTTAGATGGATCAAAAGATAATCTAAGGTACTTGAGTATCATACATTCATGACTTGTTAAGAAATAACCAGATAATTCAAACTCTGGATCAAGATCTAATGCTCTAGTCTCTTGCCAAATGTTTTCTCAACCCTATTTTGTTCAATTTGACTATTTATTTTTATTTCATAGTTAGATATTAAACCTCTTGAATTTAAATTTTATTGCTTTCTTCTCATAATAATTAAAGTATGTAAAATTAACTCATCCCTGTAGGTTCGGCCTCTGAAATATTTTAGGTGAATTATTGCTATGATTAACCCTGTGCGCTTGTAAGAAATTGTCGATCAATAAGGATGGGTTGACGAGGCATTTCCTCATAAAAAGTTGTTGTTCGAATTCCGCTGTCAATGTAAAAACTGTATTAATAAACGATTGTAAACTCTCTTGTAAATGACTTATAGTTCCAAAAACATGCTCTGACCTATGATGGTAACCAAAGTCGAGTCCATCCAAATTTTTTCTTACCAAAAAAAAATCTTTTAATATAAGGGCATTATGTAATCATCATGTCATATTTTGTTAAAGGTTAAATTACCTTTCTACCCTCTGAAGACATCCATTTTGTTGGATTGAGGATGAAACCAAATAGCGAATACACTTGTAGTTAAAGACAGGCATTGGATTCTTAAGTAAAATTTCCACACTTCAAACAAGAAAGAATAAAAGTAAAGAGTACATGGTCGAAATGCTGAATAACTACGGACCATGATGTTCCTTGAATGGAATGAAAAAAGGGTTTAATACATCATTTAAATTTTAGGGGACAGAAGCACTTCTTCAATCATCTTGTCTAGATTTAAGTAGGAAGATCCACCCGGTTTTATTGCTTTTTGGGCTTTACTCTTCCAGTCCAATGTCTTCTTCTTAATCTCCTTGCCCTTTTCATCCTCCATTAACTCTTTTACCACCTTCTCCACCTGTGTTCTGTTCGCATTACTGTCTATCTCCACGCCAACATCCCAGTAATTGCAACAGCATAAACAATTAGGCTGTTGATCGCCGAAAAATGGCCAGCAAATCATTGGTACTCCAGCAGACAAGCTTTCAAGGATAGAATTCCACCCACAGTGTGTTAAGAATACAGCAATTGATGGGTGATTAAGAACAAGTTCTTGGTTACACCAAGTTGCTAACATCCCTCTATCCTTAGTAGCAGTCAGAAATTCAGGCGGCAGAACAACTGGCCCTCCATTAACAAGATCGGGCCTGATGATCCACAGAAAGTTTTGCATGCTATTAGCAAGTCCCCATGCAAACTCAATCAACTGATCTTCAGTCATTACTGTAATGCTACCAAAGTTAACATAAGCAACTGAGCCACGCCCCTTGGAATTCAGCCATTCGATGCAAGTATCATCTTCTTTCCATAGATTGGATTGGATGGATTCAGTGTAGTGGTCATCTTTCAGCATGTCGTTCATAAGCAAGTGAATTGGTCCAAGAGTGTATACATGATCCATCATTGAAGAAAATTCCTTCAAAATACCATGCTCTAGCTCGTCAAAAGTGTTCAAAATCAGGGCTGAACCCTGGCAAGTTCTTGGCATTAGCCTTATGAAATAGTCCACAAATTCATCCTTGGGATCACTTGTCCAGATTATTGTTGGCATCTCTCTTAAGCGTATGCTAGTGATTCCAGGAATCCAATCAATAGTGTTGTCCATGTACCCATTTGTAAAATAACTCTCGTCTGTAAATTATAACAGAAAAACATGACCATATTTATGACACGGGGCAAAAAAATTCCGGTCAACATCTTCTTATGTCAAAAGAATACGGAAGGAAATTAGCAACTGGGGAAACTGGATAGATTAAGATGACTTAGATTTTCCTATTTCCAATTGATCACTATTCTTGAGTTTATACCGGTTAGGGGAAATGAAAAAGATGAATGTCCGACATGCTAAAGAACAAAAGAGGAAGGTAAAAGTGCTAAATATTTTGAAAGAATTTCAGAATCGAAAATAAAGTGGAAAACATTTATTAAATTATGAAATCTTAAGAGGCCTCTTGAATTTCAAATGACATACAAAATTTGACTTAACCAATAGCTTGCTTTATCTAAACTACATGGTTGTATCGTTCATACATATATTTCTGCAAACCTAATTAGCCACCATATTAGCTGAAATATTCAAAAATTAAGACGTGTCCACTCTTTTCTCATTTCGTTTTATATATTCAAATCATGTGAAATGAACAATAATTAAGTTATACTCCATACCTTTAAGAGGTGTATACCCTCGTTCACGAAGATGAGGGAAGTGCAAGAAGCACATGACAGTGAATGCACTGACAGTCCAAAACAGTACATTTGGAAGTCCTAGTTCTTGAGCTGCTTCAAGTGTGAATGTTGACATAACAGTATCTGATATTATACGACTTACAGGAGGATAATCATCATCAACTGAAGCCCTTTTGTTGAGCTTCCTAACTAGATCAACGAAAGGACCGTAGCAATGTTTTTCAATTGAAAGACAAAGCTGGAAAACATCTTGAGTACAATCATCATTTTCAGATGGGGGGAGGCCATCTGGGATGGTCTCAAAATTGAAATCTGGCGAACCATCCAGAGAGTTGGGACCTCGTGACTTCAACAAACGCTTGTAGTTATATTCTGTGTGAACAAATGTTATGTGAAAGCCCTTGTGGTGGAGAAGTTTGGCCAACTTAAGCATTGCGCTTATATGACTTTGAGTAGGGTATGGGATGCAGATAACGTGAGGCTTCTCGACTGCTTTCCCCATGGTTAATTGCTCTTTCCTTTGCAGTTCATGTCCAGCTTAATTTGCTGGGGCTAATATATAATGCTGCGTGAATCATACTTTAGAGTTTTCTAATAATTTTATATCGATAGATATTTTCATACTTGTTTTTCCCTAGTGTTTATTTTATACGAAAAAACGACACTTCAACCATATTATTGATTATCATATACCAGATTTTTCTGCCAGCAACAAAAAATCGAGATTAGTTTTTGAAATATTTTATCTTTTCTTGAAAGGCGGTGTCCAGAAAATGGAGATTGATGTAGAGGAAACATACAAGATCAGTAGCATCGGATAGAAAGCAGTATACTGCCAATTGATCAGAAACGTTTGCCAATTGATCACTGACTTTTTTCCGGGCCGGTGACAAGAAAGACGTATGAGTTGTCCAGAAAATGATTGATGCAGACGAAATTAACACCATAGAGGAAATTATCACATACGAGATCAGTATCATCTGACATTTGATCAGAAACGTTCGTCAATTGATCATTGACTTATTCCGGGCTGGTGACAAGATCGCTGGATGAGTTGTGCAGCAAATGAAGGGTGATATGGATAACTCCATAAAATGAAAGCTCACTGTCTATGTAAGAGCAAGCGGTATAATCAATTTCAGTAGAAACATTTGCTGTTGAAGGACCATTACAAGTTGCTGTTCAATGACGGCAACTTTAAGTCATGTTTAGCGGTATTTGATTTGATTTTTGGGTTAATTCCACTTTGTCCCCCCAAACTTTGGACGATTATCCACTTAAATCCCTAAACTTCAAAATGAGACACTTAAGTCCCTAAACTTATAAATACCTCCCACTTAAGTCCTTGAACTTATAAAATGGGACACTTTAATCCCTAAACCCTTATAAAATGGGATACTTCGACCACCAACGGCATTCAGGATTTGTTAACAATTTTCCTTAAGTGGGAGGTATTTATAAGTTTAGGGATTTAAGTGTCCCATTTTGAAGTTTAGAGACTTAAGTGGGTAATCGTCCAAAGTTTGGGGGGACAAAGTGGAATTAACCCTTGATTTTTTTGTCAAATGTCAACTTGTATATATTTAGCAGTCTTTGATTGGTTTGTGGAAACCAATATATATTACTCTTCTAGTGATGGTTGGCATTTTACAATCTCCATAGAGTTTTAATTTTCAACTTTCTAAGTCCATTAGGGCAGAACTAAAACTCAAAAAAACGAACCAAATCTTTAAAAATAACCAAACAAAACCTGTTTGTGTGAGTTGCTAAATATCATTTGTATTCTCTTACACAGCTGATAGCTTTTGTAGTTTCTGATTTTTTGTGGACAAGATTCACAAAGTATTACTTTGTCACTTATATCAATTTTATTGGTGTGGTCCATAAAAGCTAAATCAACATCCAAAGCAAAAAAGGAAAATAAAATAAAACTGATAAAGACAAGACGGCCGACTCTGTTGGGTCAAAGCAAGCCGTGAATCGTGTGTCTAACCACTTTAGTATCAAATCTTCCAGCCTGCAGAATCCATCAAGAAATAGAATACTAATACTTAGCTCTCTCTCTCTCTCTCTCTCTCTCTCTCTCTCTCTCTCTCTTATTATTGAGGGCACATTGGAGCCCGCAAATCTTCCAACCTGCAGAATCTATCAAGAAATAGACTACTAATACTTAGCTCTCTCTCTCTCTCTCTCTCTCCATATATATATATATTTTTTTCCGGTTGGAGAGTAGAGTTCTGGACAATGTCATAGACGGAAACTAAAAGAAATGTCAGTGGCAATTATTCAAAGAAAAATAAATAAAGAAAAAAGTAACAGGTTAAGATTAGAGTACTGTGATTTCCCCTTCCCCCCACCGGCCACCACCCCCCTCAAAAAAGAAAAGAGCTTCGTCCATTTTTGCTGTCATTTGGTTGGTCGAAGATATTTGCTCTTATTCTTGTAGTTAAAAAGATGCAAAAATATATGGGGCATCAGAAGAAAGTATCCACCTTCCATGGACTCCGATTGTATGGAACAAACTCATTGTTGCAAACCTGATTTTGGTTGAGATTCTGCCAATCCCTCGAGATACCACAGGCACAAATATAATATCAAGTGACAGACAAGAGGTTTATGATGTCCTGGACACTCATAATGACCAACTTTCACCTTCACAAGACATAACATTTATGAATTTGAATCAAATAGTTGTCGGTTTCAATAGATACAAATGCAAAACATCTATTGCATCACCAGGTAATCGTTGGTAAGTAGAAAGGCAACAGGACAGAGCAGTGATAACCGGCCGGGTTCAACAAGCTAGCTTGGTTAGCACCTGGTGAAATTTACTGGTACTAGAATCTATGTAAAGTCTATAACATAAAAGAGAGAACAAAACAATTTAACTAAATAAGATTTTTTTAAAGGACGGTCTTGTCTTTCTCCCTTGTCCAAGCTCAACCAATGTTTATAAATTAATACAAGATACCCAAACAACAGGGGAGTTTTGAGTTTTGCCAAATGTTATAATGTTGACTTACGTGCATGTGGGACATGCATATACAATCACCCAGACAGAGACAGAGGATCCATATCTTGTCAGATGAATAACTTGGGTAGAGTGTAATATCTTAGGAGGAAGAGATACAATTTAATGTCTGTTTTTTATAAAAGATTCCAAAATGAATGATGATCTAAGTCGAGGATAGCTTAGCTTTTCACTTGCAATATCCTCAAAATTAAATACCAGTCATGTGATGGTACCTTAAATGACACACAGCGCGAACTTGTGAATCTGGCTATCGGCAGTGCAACCTGTACACATTCTAAGATATTGGATAGATTTTTTCAGTTGGCAGGCACAAAACTCTGAAGCAATATCTCTAAATCCTTCAATCTGCATTAGGACATACAAAATGGATATCAAGTGCAAACAAAGATTTTCTTGGAGTTGGTGACAGCAATGTTTACCTGACATCACTCAAGTCAGGGAACTTTGCTATTGCTTCTTTAAAATCCTGTATCAAATCAAAGAGCAATCTCAAACATATAATACCATACTAACAGTTGGTATCTCCGATGATAACGGACTCTGATCTAGCACCTCGTGAAACCCATTCCTCTCACCCAAGTATTTGAACAGGATACCACAAAAACGGGTCTTACCTGGTTAGCAGTTGAACATGTATATGTAATTATACAAGGCATCCCAGCGCCTGTTGCTGCCTGCAAAAAAATAATGTAGTTTTTACACATGTTAAATCATCACAGAGTAACTGAAAATCATGAATTAGCTTTCCTGTCAAAAGTAAACAATGAATTTTACTTTTTTTTTTGCTTGTTAATTATTAGAAATTTGTATGCATGAAATTTGCCAAGTTTGCTTTCGATTCCTCATGGAAATTTTGTTGGACTAAAGCTAGAAATCAGTGGAAGGGAGAATCACTTACTTGTGTAAAATCCTATCATAATGTTTCTATGATTCCAGTTCTTGTGAGAAACACTATACGGACTGAGTGAACCAACATTATCTACTTTGTGCTCAGTGATATTCTCGCAAAAATGTACATCATTCCAACACTAGGAAAGTTAGACCTTACAAAAAAATTCACCAATAATTGGATATAATAAGTCAACTCTCTGTTGCATAAAATCAACTGATTATAGCTTTTTTAAGCTGAAAATAGTTCCCATTTGACTTCTGTTTTGAGTTTTTTTTAAGTTGATAAAAGATGATTCCAAAAAGCAGCTCCTCAGGTGCTTTGAAATACAGCTTTTGGCATTTTAGTAACTATTAAAAGAATAACATATTTCCAAATTTTTTAAGCAACATCTTAGAAATCACTCAATAATAATGGGCAATAACGGGCTCCTAATCTACTATCTCTTATGTCTACTTTTGTTCATCTTCTTTAATTCGCGCATGTCCGAAGTCAGAGAACTTAAAAGATTGTATAGACAAGCTCTTGATTTTAAAAATGTGATTTACCCATGAACTAAGATTTCAATTGGATACAAATAGGATAAAGGCTTTAGGTGAATTTAGTTGATTTCGGTTCCACATCATCAACAAAAGAATTTCATTGTGCATCTTATATGTTAGCAGAAAAGCAATGAAAGGGATGAAGGATGACAAAGAAATGGTGGCACATTTAGAATTCTAATAAAATATCTATTTAAACTCATTACATTTGGCTGAAATACAGCTTAAAAATGGTCTAAATAAGCAAATGCAGTCGCCCAGATATTAAAATTTTCTGTCGGTATCCACAGATAATTACAGCATAAAAACTGAAACATTTTCAACAATGTGCCTATGTTGACAGTCTTGAGTGGCGTATTTACACTGGGGGCACTGGGGGCCCTTAAATTTCTATTATATCTATAAAATTTGATGTAATTTTAATGTGCCCCCTAGTGTTTTGTGTATCTATTGGTTTATAGGCCCCCACTGCCCCTCTTAAATTTCTATAATACCTATAAAAATTTGATGTAATTTCAAGTGTGTCCCCTAGAGTTTTGTGTATCTATTAGTTTACATGCTTTTAAAGTTGACTTTGATTTTACCCGTTGTTACAACTACTATAGAAAAGGTTTTCTTAATGATGAATATAGTGAAGAATCGGTTACAAAATAGAATGGAAGACACTTGGATGAATAATTGTTTAGTTACTTATATTGAGAAAAATATACTTCGTGAAATTCAAAATAAAAAGGTTGTAAACCGTTATCAAAATATGAAAACTCATCATGAGCAATTGTAAATGCTTTAGTTTGCTTTTGAAATAAAATTATTATTACATTAATAATTTTGAATTTGTCTTTTGATGTTTTTCATGAAATATATGCATCATTTGTACTTGTTGATGAATATTTTTTTTCCTTAAAAAACTGAAAAAAGAGTAGGTAAAAAATATTAGAGTTGCTTTTCCCCCACTGAAAATTTTTTCTGGCTCCACCACTGGTCTTGAGCATTATAATCAAAGATTTTAAGAAAGTAGAGATTAACCTGTAGCCCAATAACACTATCCTCCACCACCAAGCAATCACCACCTGACACCCCAAGTTTCTGCAGAGTTCGATTTGCCATGTTCAGATTGGTAACTCAGAAGCAAAACGAATAAAAGTTTTTGCCATTTTGACAACCTTAGCAGCAGTTAGATAAATTGAAGGATTAGGCTTCTTCTCCTTCACATCATCACCTGCAAACCCAAGACAAAGTAGGGGAAGTAAGAGACTTTAATAGCAATTAAAATGGTCAATCAATACACACTAGGTTCACTATACAAAGTATTCTACTGAATCAATTGAATTAAACTGAAAATACTGCAATTTATCTCCAGGCATCATAATATTTTTTGCACAACAAAGATTAGGCTATATTTCAAAGTTGGGGGGCAGGGTTGGGTTGGGTGGTAGGGGGGAGGGACTGTAAGTGGGAGGTCCTGGGTTCAAGACCAGCTACTTAAAAAATAATAATAATAATAATAATAATAATAAATAAATAAATGCCATATTTCTAAGTCTTTACACTTGGTCAGTACAAGGAAGTAGTTTCAAAGTTTACTAATTCACGGCTTCTTTACTTTCAGAAGACCAAAGAAAGTATTGTGGGAAGTGGTATTCAGAAAACTCCAATTCATAATTTTATCTTTCAAGTGCTATTCCTCCTCTGCCTACTTTTCTCATAGACCTCGATACATACATGCACAATTACATTTAAATGTGTAGTGTATGCATATCAAAAGGTGTCATAGTAGATATACTGCATATGAAGTGAAAATATTTGTCATTTTATATGTAACTTAGTTAACATGTATTTGTCTATTAAGTATTCATACATCAAGACATACTTCAATATTACAGGGACAACACATTTTCCCACCATCAGAATCACAAATACAACTAGAAACAAAACAGTTAACAGCAAAAAAGTATATTTTATTAGTATATTTCTTCTCTGCTATTTTAAACCTGAGTTGAGGTGGTGCCAAAGCGAGGACTCCAACTAGGTAATGTCAACAGTCAAAGAGTCCACAAGAATTGCTAAAAATCATTATAACCATTTTAACAAGCATCATTGCAAGCAGTAAGGTGAATTTGATATCCTCAGCAAACTGTTTTGAGGAGCAGGGTGGCAATAAATACGTAATTCAAGAGATCATAATTGAAAATTTTGATTAGTATTAAACTTTTTAGACCAGTTATAAGCGACTTATGAAAACTAAACCTCCTCAAGAAGTCAGTCAAGAAAGCAATGATATATCCTTGTCTTTTAGAAAAAGTTAAACAATATCAAAACCCAAAATAAGCAACTAAAGATTCCACTTTTCTTCTCATATCTAATACCTAAGATATCATCCATATCATCCAGTTCAGATCACAGAATAGGTTTGCCTTGCAGATTCTGATTCGTCACATGACAATAAACTTCAATATTCTGTTCTAGAATAAATTAGGAGGATCAACCAGTTACCTTCGAGCACCATGCATATGAAATGCTCAGATAATAAGCATAAAAGCATAAGGTGGGCATTAGTAGAAATAAAATTTTAAGTTTAGCAAATACAGAGTCAAATCTGTAACATGTTAGCTAAAGAGTTTGAAGTACCCGCAAGGAAGCAATCAAGACCTTGGAATCGCTCCTAAAACAGAATCAGAAGTTTACAATAAGTGAAAACCTTATTTAAAGAAAAGAAAATGAATGGAAATAACTAAATCTAAGCAAGGGCTTACAATCCCTATTAAATTTTCAAGGCAGAGTACAACTGAGCTCTTGGTTGCTGCAGAGCAAATAGCCAGTTTCTTACCCTGAAACCAAGAGAGAGTAGGTATAACCTTTCTGATAAGAAAGAAGAAGCATACGAAAGTAGCATTCTAGGAACAGACAAGAATATATGTCAGAACCCAATAAGGTCATTGGTGATCTGATGCAGATCAAATGATCCGTATTTCTAAGTTCCATGCTGGAGTGTTAAAGTTGTGTTTATAGAATTTCTATCTTACAGAAGCCTTCGTCTCATCCATCAATCTTAAAACTCCTGGTCTAGGCTTAACCTGCCCAATATTATAGAAAGCCACCGTCATCATGTAATAAGAATGCAAACCACAAATACAGAAAGGGACAATAACAGCTCTTACAGTTCCAGATTTGATTATTTCTTTGTACCTCTCAGTCTTCCAGTCCTGCAAAAGCCACCAAAAATAGTCACCTTAGTCAACAATAAAAGTGTTTAAATGAACTTGAAATTGATACGCGAAAAGTTAATTTATACATCATAAGATTTTAGTCATAAGATTTTAAATGCATAAGTAACAAATCAAGCACTGCTTACGGCTGCAGAAGTGCTAATGAACTCAAATGTGATGGATGGTACTTGCTCACAGGTACAATGTAATGCTTATGCAGAGCGACATCATTTTCTAAGCCTTAAATCCATACAGCTATACTACGGAAGTCATGTAGTACGTAAGTAAAATATTGGAAAGACTTCCCAAAAAACTGCTGCTTGATTGAAGTTCTCCTCTCCCTTTGTTCTAAAGCATCCACTTAAGACTTAATTATTTGTCACGCTGATAACTAATTACAAAATGCAATCTATCTAAAAAATATGGGTGCTAACTCGGTTAACCATCAACCTACTATTTCAGAGGGCTTGATCTGATAATAGGTTCAAGATAGGTTTAGAAGTTTTCAGCATCAGAGCTATAGCTGAGAAACATCATCAAGATCCACCAAGTAAACTGGCGTTTCCATCTATAAGAAAAAATATCATATCAATGGCCATGGTGGCAGGGTCCTGAAATCTGAAAACCTCAAAAGGGTCTAAGTGCGCACAACACAGTTGCTCATAAAGGTATTCCCTGGAAGGTTAGAACGAAGCAGCATGCACGATATCCAAAATTGTCTTTTTTTTTTCTTTAGGATTTGTTGCAAATTTTTCCTGATAGTATGAATCGTTCTACTTCTTAGACTCTAAATATTAAAACTAAATTTATTGGCCATGGTTCTTAGACGACAAGGTCATCACCTTTATCTCTAAATTTTGGCTCTTTTTCAAACACTATTTTCAGCATTACGCTTTTCTAGTATTTTGGCAAGCTCAAGGACAAGGTAAATGCTCACAGGGAAGTTAACATGATGAAAAAACTAATAATAAAGTAAGCACGAGAAGAATTAGTAACAATAAAAGATTCACACTCTCCGAAATGATTGTTGCAAGTTTTTGAATTGAGCATGAAAATTAAAGAGCAATTAGCATAAGTAATAATTAACAATAAAGTGAAAGCAAACAAATAATTGGATACTCAACTTGAATAATGTCAACTAGCTTTTCTCTATCCTCTTTATTGTCCGGAGGCGTCTCAAAAATCCTTGAAGTTGGCCATCCATACTCCCCAAAATACCTAATAAAGGTAAAAGAAAACACAAAAATCATAATCCAAATAGGATTATCGAACAAAAATAACAAGTGAAGAAAATATAGACACAAGTCATATAAGTTTACCATCGCATTTTAGGTTTTCCACCGCCAATTCGATTCTGGAGCTCATCGTAGAACTCGAGTCCCCAATTGAGAGGTTCCGTAGCTGAAGAGGAGCAGCGGACGTTGAAGTGAGAGAAGGCGTCGTTGTAGGCTTGTCGGTGTAAGTGCTCGGACTCCAATATCACGCCGTCGCAGTCGAATATCAAAGCCTGAAGCGCCCCAGCCGCCGCGGCGGAGACCAAGAGAGACTTTCCCCTTCTTCTGGTAATCGCCGTCGGGGAAAAAGGAGAAGGAGATGGAGAAGAAGAAAGTGTTGGAAGAAATGTGGTGCGGAGAGTAGAAAGAGTGGTGCGAGAGGAAGAAGGAGAGAGTGAGGGATTGGGTGCGGAGAGGAGCATGGTGAATGATGAGGATGAGGACGCCATTGCTGGTTGCTGTGATGACTGATGAGTTGAGTGGTGTTAACGAATTTAACGACCTTCGCTCTTCTGGATATCAATTTCCAAACATTTATTATTATTAATAAATAAAAAAAAAGGGGGATGGCGGGGAAGGTAGTATGGATTAGTTGTGGTGGCTTTATGTTGGACTAGCCCATTTGATTTTGTGGAGCATTTTTCAAAAAGGGCCTAGTGACAGTTGCATTAACACAGCAGCAGCTTCAGCCCAAGTCAAGTCCTCTCTCTCCTTTTTATTTTTTATTTTTTATTTTTTTTACTCTCAATGGGAATTTCCACGCTTTGCAAGGGAGGGATTGATACTCAAACAAGAAACTCATGGTCACGTGACTAATATCTCTACCAGTTAAAGCTAGGTTTTGAGGACGAATCTCTTCAGTTTTCTCTTTGAGCGCAAAATCTAAATTTGAACTTGAAAAAAATAGTATGCCAAATTATTTGGTCTATTTGTTTTGGGTAATCGACAAATTCAAAACTGGATTTTGTGGTGAGGAAAAAAATCCCTCTTGCTAGTTAAAAATCAATTCCCATGAAGTTTAATTGCATATGAAAGAATATAAATATTCTTGGTGCAACACTAGCCAATTATGCCAAATATGCATCGTGACTAACAATTTTGTCACCATTATGGTAGATTTCTAAGTTCTGGCCTGCAAAGGCCAAAGGCACTTGCTCGAGACAAGAAAGAAACAGGCATATATAGTATAGGGAGACCACTGTTTTTGCTGCTATTCTTGTCCTCCTCTGGTTTTTTTCTAAGAGATTCTCTATGTTAGCATATATCACCAAAACACGGTAACTACCCTGGGATGCTACAGCTAAAAAGGCAATGATATCACTCATGAAATCCTGCAGTTCTGCATGTGTATCTGACCATCCAGGGGAAAATATATACATGTGTCATCAAGGTTCCTTTAGTAAATATCCAATAACCTACTAGCCTTCTGATAGGTAGTAAAACCAAATTTCTACTGTAACAAGAAGATACCCTCGAATGCATAGGACATGAGGGAAAGATCATGAAAATCCCAAGAAGATAAAGTAAGGAAGGACGAATGAAAATAGAATCAAAAGGATATAGAGAGGGGCAAAGGCAAAGCTGACTCAACTAACACCTCGTACATTCATACCTTTAATACTAGTGGTACAAGTCATTAATGTGTAAAACAGCAATGTCAATTTAATTTATATAAACTGTACAATGTGCATCAACAATAAAAATGTGCAGTACTTGTACAGTACTACTGCAAGTCCCCAAATTCTCCCAATACACATAAAAGTAACATTAAAATCAGTAGTCAGATAGTCTGCAATCAATCACTATACAAATTAAAGGCTGCATTATTCAATTTGTACACAATAAATATCTCTAACTTCCCTCAATTGATTGTCTTGTCTCTACTAGAATCCCATGGATAGAAGCTATAAATCTATAAAATCATAAGTTAATAATACTCATGCTAGTGCTAAAAGTTGAAAATAAACAATTACATTCTAGTAGTAGTACTAAAGATGAAATGGGATTTTAGGAAGCTAAGGATTGTAGAAGTGGCCACCACATCTGCATTTCCATCCAAGAGGCTTGTAATTGGAGTACCTGTTACCTACTGATGATGATGATGATGAGGGTGATGATGAATCAATGTGACTATCCGTTGTCGTTGTAGCTCGAGTAATTTGTCTTGGCTTGAGTTGGCTATGGCTTGGCATTGTGGGAACTTGAACTGCCATGCATGGATGACAATTGTTGCACTTGTTGTAGCAACTTGGCGGTGTTGAACCCAATCTTGTCTTTTCTTCAACCAACAAACCCTTAAAAATAAAAGGGAAAGGTTCAAGAAAACATACAAACTACTGGACATGTCTTGTCACTGTAAAACAAACATAGAAAAGAAGAGAACGAAGAAGAGGAGGAGGAGGAAGAAGAAGGCGCGGCAGGGGCGGTGGCTCACCTGAACTGTATCCGGAGGTTGATTATGATTCAAACAAGAAGTTGTGGAGAGAAGATGGAGAAATGTAATTACTACGAGTATAGTTGAAGATAAAGTTGATGCAAGAAATGAACTCATAGCCATGGTTGCATTTTATTTCCACTTGAAGAAAACCACAAAAGAAAAAAGGAATGAAGATTAAAGATTAATAGGTAGGAATCTTCTATTTAGAAAATCCCAATTGAGACTTCATCAAATCTCTCAAATTAACTGGTGCATATCCAAGAGAAAGGAAGAAGAGACTGTAGTGATTCTAGTATAGTATAGCAATAGACTGCAGAGGATGGGATATCATGTCTGCAAGTGGAGAAACACTGGAACGAAGGGATAGCTGAGGCTGACCAGATTTAGAAAAGGAGAAGGATAAAAAGGTCCAGTACTGAAAGAAGGCAGAAGAGTGAAAAGAACAAGTCGAGAAGTAGGATACAAAACTCGGTAGATTGGCAGCAGAAAAGAATGACTTTTAGTCACTGCTCATTTCTTTACTAACACTGAGATTTGGCCACTAGCAGCCTATGATATACTACTAGTTGGAATTTGGGAGGCGAAGGTTGGGGCTGCGGTGTTGCAGCTATCTGCTCTTTTGCATTGATAGTGTACAGCTTGATATATTCAGGAAAAATATATAGTCTTGGAATGGCATTCATATTTTTCTTGAAAGAGATATATTTTTTAGTGCAAATTCTGAACTTGAAGCTATAATTCTTATAAATATATATAATCATTGATGCGTGTATGTCTATCTATCCCTTAAAAAGAAGGAAGATGTCATCAAATTTGAACATATCTCTTTTCAAATTTTAGACATACATACAATAATTTTTTTTGGTGCATTACCATTTGTTTAAAGCATTTAAGGGATAATCACCAAATCATAAACATATTTTTCAATCTTTTTTTATGTTTTCAATCACTTTTCATTAGACGTGCAATAATATATTATAATTTTTTTAAAAATTTCAAATAATCATCTATCCAAACAGCATGTTTTTTTGTATTATATTACAACAACAAAATGCAGATAAACAGAAGTATATCATTATCCATAGGGGTTTAGCACACTATAAATATTATGAGAGGGAGTCGTTAAAATTCTCATTTAATGAGGACACATGACTTTTATTTGAGTTTGTAGAAACAGGAGACATGAGGGTTTGACTGCGATAGATTTTGGATTGAAGGAATCAAATAAGGGGGAAGATGACTTGGCTCTTTCATGTCTGAAAACGATTCTTCTTGCGCAGTCCATCCCAAGAAAATGCATTAATTACATTCAACAACGCTAAGGTTTGCCTCCCTCCCTCCTTCCCTCCCTCTAATCTAAACTCTGGGCACACGTCATTTTCAGCTAACTCATTTGCATTCTCTTAGCTTAATTGAGAAGAGATGCCATTTTGCCTTTTTTACACCAACATAGCTAAAGCCGTTCATGGGGGCTTTTCTTGCTTCATATTCAGCTTTTAACACACCTTTGAATTTGTACTGGAGAACGCAATCATTGCAGGGTAACAACTACTATCAATTGTCTCATGACAGCAATGGAGGTTTCAAAAAGGAGTTAAATTTGAATGAAAATGATAACTGGGAAGAAGGATGATCAAGCACTAGATTAGCACATAATTGATGGTACTGCTACATCAAAGCAAAACATGGTTCCAAGATTTTGTTATAATACAAGAGTGGTGTAATTGGTCCTTTTTTTTTTTCTTTAATGTAAAGTACAACACAACGTTAAACTCAATTCACATTGAAAAGATCACTGCAAACTGAAACACCCTTAAGAGTGACCCTGGCCGGTGGCTAAAATTTATTTGACTTCTCTCTTCTTCTTTTTTTTGTCATTCGTCACTATTTTATCTGTATCCTACTCTATCATAATCTATCTAAGGGGGGCCTATGAGGGGCAGGTGGGGATTGAACCACCACCAAGTGCACCCGTCTGGATTTGACTTCTCTCTGATGGATTCTTTCTCCAGAACATGCATTGTTAGAAATTGAGAGAAAATTCACTAGAGAGGAGTGAAATCCAGCTAAAAAATACTAGAAAGCTGTAGTAGTTTAGTACAGCATTTTGACTCGTTTGGAATTTAACCAATTTCACCATATCTAAAAACTTGTTCCCAAAAGTTTTCATGACCTATTGGACCAGCAAGCCTTTTTTGGTGGAGACCAAATGTAACGAGTTGTTGACTATCCAAGTTTAGTCATGAACTCAGACAGGTAATTAAATAATCAGTTCGGCCACAGATTTTACAGGTGGGATGTCAGTTACTACTTTAGTTCAAATAGCCAAAAACATAGGAAATAATAATCTCATTGCTTCAAATCTGCGCTAATGACAAGGAAAAAAAAACCATCAAACATTATACAACATATATGATCACCAAATACACATATCTAAATGATCAGCAAATATAAGGATAACATTTGAATCATCCATGTCCATTTGAATTAGATTTACCTTCTTCAATCAACTTTGGGATATGGCTTTTTCACAAATATGCACAAAATTGGCATAATTATATGTGTTTAGGGTTAAAAGATGAATCAAACTATTCAATGTTCGAATTGAATTCGGCTGATAAGTATTAGTTCAAATTTGGTTCACCAACTAGTCAAGTCAAATTTGAATTGCATTTTTAAATTCATTAAAATAATTAAACATGTTTCAACATTATTGTATTCAACTTAATTAGACTCGTTTACTCTCTTATTTCGTGTTGATAAGTGGCTAGCTAGCCAAGTACAGAGGGAAGCTGGACTTGCATTTATGTGGAGAAGATAGTGAGACAGATAGATGGTAAAACCGTTTATTATTGTAGTCTGGCATCAGCATATGAGAAAGTACCACGACCCTTTAATGTTGTTGGGCATCCCCCAAAAAAAAAAGGGTTAATCACATTTTATCCCTTTAAAGAATACCTCATTTGTCAGTTTACCCCCTAACTTTTAATTTTGCTCACTTAACCCCCTTTAGGACAAAATTGCCCTTGCATTATTTTGACTTTTCATTTACCTTATTTTCTTTTCTTTTATTTCTTTTTCTCTT